AGCTAGGCTCATGAGGAATGCAATATATACCTCATCTTCACTGTATCCATGGCCTTCCTTGGGTGTAAATAGCATTTCTCCTGTTGCGAGCTCAAAAGCGATACACGCAAATGACCACATGTCAACAGAAAATGAGTATCCTGCACCTAGAATGATCTCTGGCGCCCGATACTGCCTTGTCTGAATAAAATCTGTAAATTGCTTGTCGGCCCAGCAAGCATTCCCAAAGTCCACAATCTTGCATGTAAGATCAATTCCATCCAAGCTCCTTTCTGAGCGCGAAGATTCCACAGCTGATTTTCTTTTCTCAGCAAGCTTTGCAAGCACCCTCCTTGCTCTCATCTTTAGCTTCTTCTCAATAGCGTTAAGGCCAGCTTCACCATTAGGGTTTCCCTCAGGCCTCTCGAGGTTAGGTTTAAGCCCAGAGCGAATGGGGTCCTTGGAAGGATCAATGGTTGAGACAAGGAGAACGTTCTCAAGCTTCAAATCTGAGTGGATGATGCCAAGCTCATTGTGCAAGTAATCAAGGCCTACCAAAATCGACCTGCATATTTGCCTCACCCTATCAAGCCCGATGCCTTTGTAACGGTTGTACTGTACCAGCTTAAGCAAGCTATCTCCCAGTAACTCGAAGACGAGGCAGATATGCTGCCCGTTCGGCCCCGCATGCTTGAAGTGATCTATCAGCTGAATGATGCATTTGCAGTTTGACGGGTCCCTCTTGGTGATCTCTGACAGGAACTCGATTTCATGAAGAGCAGCTTGCGCAAACTCAGGCGCACTCTTTTGGATCTTCAGGGCCACGTATCTCTGCAGAAAGGAGAATACATTTGTGAAAACAATGTTCAATTTTTCTTCTGTCCAATTTTATAACTCTAGTCAACGACACCAGAGTATCCATAGCGATAATTACAATCATTGTTATATTATAGTTAATCATGGTTATAGTTTAACGTAAGCCACATTACTAGTACGAGAAAAGAGGGACACTAAAAGAATTTGCCCCTGGTACTGGCAACTGAATTTATTTTTGTATTGTACTGCTCGAAAATAAATGAAAAATTCAATTTGGCATTGTTTCCCTCCAGCTCCAGCGTGTAAGACCTGACCTGAACCCACCTGTGGTTCTGGTTGTTTTGTATTATTACGAAAGAGTAAAGGCTTTCCCAATGGCAGCGGCAAACGGATGAACCAAACTCCCAAATGGGGAAAGAAACGACAAACCGAATCCCTAGTCTAGTGAAACGAAGCCTATAAAATCCGAGTGAGTATCCGACAGCCCCGTCGCAATCCCAATCCCAAGCCCATTCCCCTGGCCTCGCGTGGGGCCCGAGGGCAGGGCAGGGCGCGCGAGGCGGTAGCGGTACTTGCGATCCGATCAAGCGATCGATCGGTGCGCCGCTAATCGACAAAGCGCGAGATCTATTCTAGACGGGCAATCGCATTACGAAGCGGAGGGGGAGCGATCGCGCGGCGGGGGAAGGCGGGCGATCTTGAGCCCCTCCTCGATCGCCGGGGAGACGGGCGGGGAGATGCCGCGCGCGATCTCATGCGGAAGAGGCCAGCAGAGGGCGCGCCGCGCCTACCTGTGATTGGACGTCGAAGGCGAGCCAGACGGTGGAGAAGTTGCCCCAGCCGAGCTTCCGCTGGGCGACGTAGCGGCCGGCGGCGAACTGGTCCCCGTGGCGGACGGCGTGGTAGCCGCCCTTGCGGTAGCCGTCGACGCCCTCGTCCTCCTCTTCCTCCTCCATCTCCACCTCGTCGCCCGACAAGGACGGCGACAGCGACGCCACCCGCGACATGCTCCTCCTCGGTTCCCTCCAACGCCCCCGTGTATTCCGGGGATTCCAAGGCAAGGCGCGCGCGTAGGTGTCCGGCGATCCCACCGGTGGCGTGGCGAGCTCTTCTCTTGTGTTCCGGGTCAATTGGGCTGGGAATCGCGTAGGCAGGCGGTTGTGGGTTTGGTTGGTTAAAACTTTTTTTTCTTTCTCAGGTGGTGGGGGAGGGAGGGGCGGAGGGACGGGGAGCAAGCATTCCCTGGACGACGAGAGAAAGGCAGAGGAGGACGCGGGGAGCTTTCCCACGTCGCTCCTCCTATTTTGGATGTATTGCACGGTCACCCACGACGACAGCTTCTCCATTCCAACATCCCCCACCGTACCGTATCCCATTGCCATGCCCAATCAACCTAGGGCCTGTTTAGTTTCCTCCAAAACTTTAAATTTTTTAAGATTCCCTGTTATATCAAATCTTTGATGCATGTATGAAGCATTAAATATAAATAAAAAATAAAACTAATTACACAGTTTAGACGAAATCCACGAGACGAATATTTTAAACATAATTAGATTATGATTGGACACTAATTACCAAATAACAACAAAAAGCGCTATAATTACATTTTGCCAAATTTTTCGGATCTAACCTGGGCCCTATTCTTCGAAACTTCTCTCTCTTTTCCATCCTGAACAATCAGCAGATGCAGATCATCATGTGCCTCTTTTTTTTCTGAAAAGCGTAACTTGTAATGCAATTTAGAATTTACATTAACCCTCTGATTTCTGTCATTTTTTTACTCACTTTAGAGTCCATTCCCATTCGTGATTTAGCTCTGTGAAGCACCTTACATTAAGTCAGAAAATGTCATATTACAAGGGGGGCATTAGTTGGTCAGCGAAATAGCTAGAACTACAGTACATCATCTGTGTGTTAACATTTGGACAACTATGGTGTCAATGTAGAGGCTTATATCATAGTATCAGGCGCGAAGCAATGGCCCTGTTCGCTTGAGCTTATTAGCCAGAATTAGCCCTACTTTTCAGCGATGGGAACCGTGTTTTTTTCTCACAATAAATCAGCCATACAAATCAGTCGCAGTAGCAATAAGTCCTACCGAACAGAGCTATAATATTAGAAATTGATGTAAAGAAGAAGGTACGTAAAGGTGCCAATTTTACCATGTGAGACACTCGTCACAATAACTATAGCGGAGAGCCAAGGAGAAACAACATCCCTAACAATGACATGAATCGATTTATATATGGATGGATGTAACAAGAACAAGAGTGAAACATGACGACGTACTATCTAAGCTCTCTCTTTTTTTGATAAAATGATACAATTTGATTATCGAAGGTTTGCTTGATCTGAAAGCATAAACCTTGAATGTAATAATTGTGTCTTCGGCTATATTTACATGTTGCAAATTATTCATCAACAAAATGCTCCTTATGAGAGAAGTCAAAAGTGGGCAGCATAGCCTACTCTACTCCACCCTATAATACACCGGTTAGAATAAATCTACAGCAACACAACAAATGATTGCTCCACAGTCATGACATATGCTATATCCACATCCATGAATACACCTAGAAAATATAACACCACCAAAACGGATGCACCATATTATCTTTTAGCCATTCTCTCTCATTACTCATCCAAATCTGACGGCTCATGTTTAGTGTGTCTGCCCTCCATCGCCCTCCCGCGGACCTCCGCCCCACGCCAGCGCCACGTCCACTTCTGCTGCAGGCACAGATTCGATTCTCGGTGGCTCAAATGTCTTTTTTGCGAAAGAAAAAAAAAAATAATACCGCCTCTCCCTCACTCTCCCAAGGCGGCGGCAGGCACAGGGCCATCTCCGTCTTCCCCGGCGGCGTCCCGGCAAGCACCCCTCCAAGGTCACGAGCAGATTCCGTCTTCCCCGACGAGAGAGCTGCGCCCCACGACAGCCCCGGCGGGCGCCCCTCTAAGGATCCGCACAGCCTCTCCGCCACTAGGTACGCCCGCCCCTTGGTCGTCCCTTCCAGCTGTGCCAAACCGAGCACCCAAACCCTAAACTTACTATTTGTGCTCGGATCTGATCTAACTACTGTGGCGGGCGCGAGGCCGCCCGAGGCGTGGTGGGGACGGGCCTCATGTAGCTAGCCCGTGGTGGTGGTGGCGCACTTTCAGCCACGACAAGCTAATCGGCTTTGGTGGGGCGCCTCCCAGCATGCATGGCATTCTTGGCTTCGGCTAGGCGCGCACCACCGGGCGCTGCTGCTGGCTGGCCTTGACCGCTGAGGTCTTGCCATAGTCGCCAGCCACACCCGCAAGCACGTCGTCGACGGCCTCCTCGGCACCTCCTCCCATGGTTGGCGCTGTAGCTGCAGCAGTACCAGTCGGGACAGCAGCCGCCATGACCCAGGTCGTCCTCCCCATCCTCGCCTCTCAATTTACTGTGAAATTTGCTCCTGCAGGATGGTTGGTTCAGTTATGCTGTTTTTTTTATTGTTATTGACAATTCCCACCCTTGATTACTAAAGTGAAATTTGCTCCAGGTACTTTTATCTTCTTTCTGGTACACTATGGGATTATTCAGAATTAAGGTTCTTAAGTAAGAACTTTTACTTTCAGATGAGATCAAATGTGAAAATCTGTAGTGTTCAGCTACTGTCAAATGCTTATGTTTGTTAGTAATTTGTTGTCAGGTGGCACTCTTCTTTTTTTAAGTTGGTGTTTGGTACAGCTGGACTTGATTTTTTTTATTGTTAATGTACTCACGATCGGTTCCAATTTAAGCCTATCATAAAACATCTCTTTCACATAACTATATATTTAGTATCAGCTAAGTTAGTGGTTTTCTGCTGGTGTCCTGAGATAGTTGGTGAATGATGAATTGGAACAACAGTGCGGTGACATTCTCCAAACATAAATGCTAACATTTTTTTTGGTGGGGGTGGTTTCACATCCAATTTACACCAACTGTCTGTAGACCATTAATTACCTTTGGTCAAAGTCATATTTGTATAGTGTTGTCATCTCCAGATATTAGACAAACTTACATGGATTTTGTCAGTCAGGATTTTCTATTTTCTTGTATGCTAAATAAATTTACTACCAAAAAAACCACCATTGTGATCCTCTGGAGATCACCCTGGCCTCCAGTCCACCTAATTCTTAATATATTTGGGTAGAAAATAATTTAATAAGATTTTCTTCTACATGAGAGACTCACAATGGCCTCGAGAGATCACAATGGCTTGACCCGACAACTTCTGGATGAGGTAGGTGCAGAACATGATTCATTCATGGATGTGAAAGCGAGATTCATGGACTTCAAACAGAGAAACTATGTGTAAATGGATCATTCACCTTAATATTTCATAGTTGTTCTTTTTATTTGTTGAAATTGCTATATCTGGATCTATGGACACGGAGGATTTTTCAAATTACCAAAGTCATGCTCAGCAACAAACACCAAAGGTACATGATAATGACTTTGATAGCAAATCATTTTTGATATTGGCATTATTATTAGCCTCATGGGATTACTTTTGGTTTTATGTTCTTGTGTGCAGTTCATGGTGGTTGACATTGCTATATCTGGATCTATGGACAGGGAGGATTTTTCAAATTACCAAAGTCTTGCTCAGCAGCAAACACCAAAGGTACATGATAATGACTTTGATAGCAAATCATTTTTGATACTGACATTATTATGAGCCTTATGGGATTACTTTTGGTTTTCTGTTCTTGCGTGCAGTTCGTGGTGGTTGCTTGTGCTAACTCCAGGGTCTGCCCTACGGCTGTTTTGGGGTTTCAGCCTGGGGAAGCATTTACAGTTCGTAATGTGGCAAATTTGGTACAATTTTTTTAAAAGTGTTTCATTGACAGTAAGTATAATGTTGCAATACCAGCATCGCGGCGCATCCACGCATGAACAAGATTATTTTTCTTTTGATGGAAGGGGTCTCTATTATGTAAATATGCATAGGTCTAGATGTCGATTCCTAGAACAATATATAGTAGACATTTTTAACTGGTTGTCCCTCAGGGGTGGACGCCACGCGACATCGTCAGCAAGTCCGTCTGGGCAATCCTCACCTCGTCGTCGTCATCTTTACTTGGTTTCAATTCAAGGTGTCATCTTTGCTTTAGTCCCTCTGCTGTTCAGTCATGATTGAAGTTCCTTCGTTTGTCTAATCTCTTGCGTGCCTTCATCTTCTGTTGGGATCTTTGTGCTGTTCTTGTCTCTATTCTGACACATCAGTTCTTGGAGCATGGCCATGTATATAGGGGATTTTGAGGACACAACTATGTTGGGTGAATCAAGTAATGTGAGTGTCTTATAATCCTTTCAAGTACTTATTAGCCCTCTAATTATTTTGACGCTCCTTTGGAGAAAGGGTTTGTTTTTTACCAGATCGATGCAGCCAAACAATGCAACCAAAAAGGAGGGAATGACAGTGGAATTTTCTGCTGGTAAATGACTGATGATGGCTTCTGAATTGACTGCAACTATATGGTGCGTAGTTAGGCATACCTGCAAAAGTGACTGAAAATTCACTCTTCTTGTTTGTGAGGGTCTTCTGATCTTTTGATTGATTGAAAATGCTTTCTTGTATTGCAGGTTTGTTTTTAATATATTTAAAAGGTGGTTCTTTACTGTGTGACAGAAGTCATGCCTATCCATGGCTAATCAAACATCTAGCAATTTCATTGGAGGGAAAGGCTCCTAGGCAGCTAGCCACCAATGTTTGTAATAATTTGATCTTTCTTTTGCAATTTGTTTTTGTTACTGCCTGCTATTGAGAAAGCACAATGCAAGTTATTTGCCAATGTGTCAATACCATTTAAGAAGTAAGAAAAATCTATTTTTGTTACCAAGGATTGTTCTCTGTAACACATTATTTGCTTCAGGTGGCTGTTATATTAGCTAACACCAGATGTAAACTGGCTAACAAACTACTCTTGTACAGGTACTCGGCTCTTGAGTATTGATGTCTATGTACTTCTCAGATGCAAACGTGCTACATCAATCAGGTTGTCTGTACTGTATAGTTTTCATGTGGTTTGGTTACTGGTGAGATGGTTAATACACTAAGGTGATGAAAAGTGGGGATTAGTAGATGTGGCAATGTTGCTATTTTAGTTAGGACCTACAAAATAATTAATGATTATGTAGGAGATCTGAATTTTCATAATAGAATGATTTTTTAAAGACATATTCTAATTTTCATGTATTGATTTGTCAATTTTCTTGTTATTATCTTATCCATTAATAAATTCTTTTATTTGATAGACACACGTGCGGGTCGTACGTCCATGTCTACTATGAATCTTAATATCTCATTCTATACTTGAATATCAAGATATGTCTTGTCTTTTGCTTGTTTGATTTGCATTATAAAATATCTCGTAGCGTTGGCACGGGCAATATACTAGTACTAGTAAAGATGCCGGTCTTGGTTGACCATAATTTAACCAGATGCCAAAGGGTTGCACAAAATTCCCTCACTGTACCTTTGACACTTCTGAGATGACGGTGCCTTCGTTGAAAAGCAAAAGTATTAATCATAGTCCATCCAGAGCAACGTTACGTTAAAATGGATCCACCTGTGATAATTAGGAACTGTGAGATGCCATTTGTGATACAGGGAAGAGTTGTTGCGTAGGAATTCAGGAGGTTGGTGCCGTGCACCTTTGCAGTGTCATCTCCCAACGTCGTGGCTCGTGGGTTTGGTAGATTCTCTGCTGCAGCTGTGAGCAACAGCACAGCAGCCAGTCCATCATTGATCATTTGCTGCAAAATACCACGCAGCTTATCATTACTCAGTTGTATGGTTACCGTTCATATCACATCGGATGTTTGATATTAATTTAAAGTATTAAATATAAACTAATTATAAAATTAATTACATAGAATAAGATTAATTTGAGAGACTATTTTATTAAGCCTAATTAGTCCATAATTTAACAATATTGTGCTATAGTAAACATATGCTAATGATGTATTAATTAGACTTAATAGATTCGTCTCATAAATTAGTCTTCATCTGTGTAATTAGTTTTATAATTAATTCATGTTTAGCCTTCCTAATTAGTATACGAACATCCGATATGAAAGGACTAAATTTTAGTCCCTGGATCCAAACAACCTCACAGAGTTGAAATTGGAACTTCTGGTTTCTAACTTTTCATGAGGATGGAAGTTTAAACATGTGCTAATGATGGATTAATTAGACTTAATAGATTCGTCTCATAAATTAGTCTTCATCTGTGCAATTAGTTTTATAATTAGCTCGTGTTTAACCTTCCTAATTAGTATATGAACGTCCGATATGAAAGGACTAAATTTTAGTCCCTGGATAAAAAAAACCTCACTAAGTTGAAATCGGAACTTCAACTGAAATCGGCCTCGTTCGCTTGGCTGAAATTGGCTGAAAAAACAAGTCAAAACTAAAATGTTGTGAGAGAAAAACACTGTTTCTACTAAAAAAAAGAAGCCGAATAAACCGGCTTTTAAGGTAAGCCGAATGGGGCTCTGGTTTCTAACTTTTCATGAGGATGGAAGTTTGGCCACATTCTTTTATTGAGACAATTCACAAATCCTTATGTGTTGTCTTTTTTTTTTTCTAAAACACACTTTAAACATCCACACACGCATATTTATGCTTAAGAATGTACGTATGAAACTAGATCTAAAGATTTTAAGATTAAGAAGCCACTATACAATGTCTCACTATTGAAGGAGTATATTTTACATATCATTAAAAAGATAGTTGCATTAATAAGCCACGTAGGCCATCAAACCTTTGAAATTGATTGGATGGCTAAAAGGCGCAATCAAACCATCCAAGCAAGTTATTAGTTCTCAATTTCCATTTGGACAATCGAATTTGTTTTTGTTTCTCACCAGAATCACCCGAAACAGTGCTAACCAAATAGGATTGGAGCACAACAATTCAAAAAGCGGAAACATTTCACCTTTCTATCTACAGTGCTAGAAATGGCCAAAAGGTGGTTTCACATCAATTCACATTGGGATATCACCTTGCTTCTCCTAACATTTGCTAATAAATTCAGTACTCGCCATGCCTTGTCTACCTCAGAGACAAGCCGCACTAACTAGCAGATGGAGTTGTAGCGACACAACTATGATTCTCCACCATTGTGCCTCCCACGTGTTGTTGTTGCATATCCCCGTCATCCAAGATCCATGTGGACTTGCAGCCAAAGCTACAACAACGCCACACGAGGTTCGCCACTAGTCGCCACCATGAGAGGCACCCCAAGCTACTGATGTTAACCCCAAGGCCCCAGAGTGCTGAGAATTTGTTGTCCAACTTACGAATTGTTGATAATGAACCGATAACATGAGAAATTGCATTTGATTTCTATAAATATATGTTGATAATGTATAGCAAAGAAAAAGTACCACATCAATCTCAAAGGCACTTTGGTCTATTCCGCCACATTCTGCTCTTATCAGAATATGAATCTAAGTAGCCAGCTAAATGGTTGTAGCAGGTGGTTCTATTTCTCTATATAAATGTTTCGTAGGTGGTTCTATTTCTCTATATAAATGTTTCCAAAGAGATCTGGATCTTAAGTGTTCCTCTATGAATATAAATCCCTACCAAACACATTATAATCAAAAGAAAGAAAAAGAAGTTTTTAGCTATATTGGTTGCCTATTTGGACAAAGCATGCTTCGATATCAGATCCACTAAAAGAGCCCAATGATATTGTTTCTTTCATTTATGCATTATAGTATCTTGATGAAAAAAGTAGTGTCGGGGACCTAATACCGGGTACCAAATGAGGTGGAATTAATAACCATCGAACGTTGACGCTTCCGGTCAGACAAGAACGCTACTACACTTATTACCCGAACGACGAAAAATTGGTCCCGCCTCGCCCGACCCCTAAGGGCTAAGACTTCACCTCGCCCAACGGCTGAGGGCTAGCTCCGCCTCGTTCGACGTCCGAGGGCAGGCCCCACCTCGCCCGACGCCCGAGGGCAGACTCCGCCTCGCCCGACGGCTGAGAGCTAGCTCCGCCTCGCCCGACGGCTAAGGGCAGACTCCGCCTCGCCCGATGACTGCACCCTGCTCCTTCATTAAGACGAGCACAGGGTACGACAGGACATTCGAGTCAACCGCAGTACCGAGGGCCATGCCCTGCATGCCTGCAGTAAGGTATTGTCAGGATACGACGGGACGGACGCTTTAGGCCCTTTCCGACCTGATAGAGCCCGAACAGTGTTGTAGGCGTCGACTTTTGTCCCACGGTGTTGTAGGCGCCACCATCAGCCCTCGGACGCGGATACTAACACAAGCATACGACAACCACTACGATCCAAGAAAGAACTCACATTATCTACAATGACGAATGTATGGTCACTTCCCCGTCTACTCTCCGTAGGGTCACAGCTCGGCTCTCTGGCGTGCCGCACCGTCCACCGGTGTGGGATAGGATGCACCCACTTGCTGAATAAGGCCAAGGCACGACCCTATGAGGATCAACGAACACGCCATCCCTGACACGGTCTGCCATGTTAACAGGGCAGGCACAGGGAAAAAGGAAGACCCGGATCCTCGAAGGACTTTCTCTCCCTTTGGTTTTGTCCTCTTTCTCCCATCTGTAAACCCCTGCTCCCCCTTGGTCTATAAAAGGGAAGACATGGCACCCCACTAAAGGACCGATCGATTGCTCTTGAGACACAAGACGACGAATCGATTCCACACAACACACAGTCAAGCAGCAACCGAGCTCTTGGCGTCCTTTCGACCTTTCCATCAAAGATTTGGGACATGTCCCTCTCTCGATCGTTTGTACCCCCTACTACGAACCTTTTTCTGGTACTAATAACATGAGCAGCAGCAAACTGGATGTAGGGACATTCTGCCCGAACCAGTATAAACCTTGTGTCCTTTAGCACACCATCCGAGCCTATTATAAATTTACTAGTTGGTGTTTGTTCAAAACACCGACAAGTAGTTAATCATTGTATGTCCATTTGGATTTCAAAGTAGTGTTCAAAGCTTACCTCCAAGTTACTGGTGAGTTAACTATGGGCAACAACCAAATATTCCACCACTTTTCTGCCATATGAACCAAAAGTGGGGAGTGCTCGTTTCACCTTTCAAACATTGTCACACTTTTGAGAAAATATTTGCTCTATAACATGTACTTAAAGATCGTATCTTTTGAGAAAAAATACCCCACCACCTTCCCCTTGCTTTGTGTCTAGGCCAGCAACGCCACCGGGGGCGATGGCTAGTTGTGCGAAGTCGAGCAGGAGTGGTAGGCAAAATCGGGCATGGCGGGTAGACCTCGATACGAACGACCATGGCGTGGAGCAGGGGAGGGGTTGCCGCGGTAAGCAATGTCGGGGCAAGGAGGATATGCCAAGCAGAGTGGCGTGGTTGGTCTGAGCCGAGTAGAGCAGCATGCAGAGCTAGGTGGCGGTTGGGCGTGAAGAGATATGGTGACCTGGTCTGCTACGAATCCTCTGTCGCTCCATGGAAAAAGCAAAGAGAAAGAAGTAGAAAACATGGCTGGCATCTAGTTCCCACTCTAACCATGGCTAACGAATCATCTCCATATCCATCTCTTCTACCAAACACAAAATTACAA